ATATATATATATATATATATATATATATATATATATATATATATATATATTAAGACGAGCTGCTAGTTTACATGGACAAAAGCCGTTATTATTTTTTTATTTTGATAAAACTAGGTTGAATACAAAGAAAAAAAAAAAAAATATTTATGAATAAAGATGTCTATATTTTTCGTATAAATGTTCCGTTATTTTGAAGATTTTTACTGGGTTGTTATTATTATTATTATTAATATTATCTCCAATTTTATTATTATTTTAATTTTAATTATTATAATTTTTTTTTATCATTTTTATTAGTTTTTTTTTTTTTTTATTATTTTAGATTTATTTATTTTTTTAATATTTTTTATTATTTTATTTATTTTTTTTCTTTAAATAGAAAAATGATACAATTGCTTTTTTGTTGAAAAATTTTTTAAATACAGAAAAATACTTAAGATCTTTTAAATGAAAATACATTTTAACATAAATATATATTTATGAGTAATGAAATGCTTACTTATTTCATGATCAAGAAAACATGTATGGTCTGTAGAACTTAACAGCTAATATGTATGTATATAATATTATAACTTCCCACAACTAAATAAAATAAAATGAAATTAACATTTTTGTTAAGAAAATCGTATAATTTTTTTTTTAATGATCAGAGGCGATGATTGCAGAAAAAAATAAAAATAAAATATGATTGTAAAGAAAATTAATTCGTTCTCAAAATATAACAACAAATGTTTGCTAACCAATTCATGTTGCATACTTGAAATTCCAAATCATTTTCAAGACTTTTTCCACATTCATTCACATAATTTTTCTAATGATACATCTCTCTACGAGTATTTTTGTTTATCTATATATAATAATTGTGATACATGGATATTTGTGTAACACTGTATTTGATTATGTGCATGCATGAAATGTGTTTTTGTTTCATTTTTCTTAGCATATTTCTCTCAATACGGCCATAAAAATTAGCACAGGAAGCGCATACCACAAAAAGTTGCACGTTCATTACACTGAGCGGCGGCGGTGAGTATGAAAATAAGTTTATTTTCATTTTGTTTACCTACAAAATGAACTCTTCTCCATGCAGCGATCTAGCTCCCGTTGGGGGACTTTATTGTCGTTGTTGTTGTTGTTGTTGTTGTTGTGGCTTGGCGGCTGCTCGTTTTGGGCGGATGTGGAGTGTGTTTAGCGGAAAGTGAAAAGTACTGCTTAAAATGGCTTAGTTTGCAGGTTTCGCCTTGCGGAAGTGGACGCTGGCAAACGCTAACAAGTTGTCTATCATAGAAAAGCAATTTCCATGCCAATGATTTATGAGCCGCTTAACCGGGCCATTACTATCTTATCTCTGGGCTATTATGTACACCATTTGAGCTGACAAAATATATTGTGGTCCAATCTAAAGCTGGCATTGCCACTGCCACGCTGACGCTGACATGTCGCGCTTATCGCCGCAAAATTATCAACAAAACAAACACAGAGGCACGCACACACTCACACACTGAGAGATACGGACACTGAGAGCAAGAAAATAAAAGCCAAACTCAGAAATTGTTGGCTCAGACAAAGGCTTACAGTGTTTCTCAATTGTTAGCCACCACGCACGCGCGCATTTACTTAAACACAAGCGAGCTCGAGTTTCAAGCGGAGTCAGTTGGCCAGTTGGTCTAAGTCTAAGCATGTGCCCACATTTTAGCTGGAGTGTCTAGTGTGTGTCTGCGTGTGCGTGTGCAGCTCAACTCATTGAATGACCCTCGTTAGGCCTACTGCGTGAGTTCGCCCGTTTCTCTGACTCTCTGACTGTCTGACTGTGTGTCTGGCCGTCTGTGTGTCTGTCTGTCTGTCTGCCAGTCTGTGTGTTCGCTGCACGTCAGTCACGCTTTGTTTGGCCTGTCAAGATGACAAGTGTTTGCTTTGCAGCTTGCTGCTTGCTGTTCGCTGCTTGCAACATGCAGCTGGCGCTCCAGCGAATGTAAACTTGACATTTGATTGCATTTTAATTAAA